GGAGAACAGGAGAGACAACTCAGGATTATGCCCTTCCTTTGCTGTGTTCTCCCCCACCGGGCAGGTTGCCGTCCATTCGACTAAGTTTCATCATGAATACTCTGCCTAAAGAATCTATCAAAGAATACACAATAGAGTGATTTATTTTGGGGGTAACATACTACACGTTTCGACAGAGCGTTGGTCTGTCTTCTTCAGGTATGAAGCGTATACATGGTATTATATTTATCTATGACTTCTGATTACTTGGCTTTTAATTAGTGGCCAGTATTTTCGCATACTACTGCCTACCAAGTAACAGGTCTAAAATAATGTGCAAACTGATTGTCCCCAGTGGGGGCTTTACCCCTAGATCCCTTCTAGGGGCTTCACCCCTGTTATTTTCTATAACGACCCTATGAATTATGTCGGGAAAGAATATGTGAGCTTTACCCTTTTGCTGGTATTTAAAAGCTGCAATTTATAATGATATAATTATTGACAAAAATAAATGAAGGTGGGTTTTAGCTTCATGGAGAAGTTATATTGCCCACCATCCATTTTGAATCTCTGGGACTAAAATACTTTTAACTTGGGGGAGAGAGGCCAAGAAGAGCTACGGTTCCGGCAATTTTGATTAACATTACATAAGAAGCTACATCATCTGCGTGAAACATGGATTTCACAACAGGAAGCCCTAATCCGCAGATTTGGTGAGATCATTAATGACGTTTACCTGCCGTTGAGCGTCATAATGTGGGAATCACCTCGAATCCTGTTTAACTTTGACTTTCCATGTTATATATGCTACAATTACACCAGTTTATCCGTTTATGTTATAGTATTGTTTTAGTAAACGGATTGTTTCTATAGTATGTGCAGTCGAATTTTTGTCGTTTTAATTATCAAAATTAATTAAAGTTACTGCTAATGATTTCAGGATTTTTTCAGTTTATCAAAACTCAAACAAACACGCGTTATTTTAAGCTTTTATAAATGCATATTTCCTATGTATATGTATACAGAAGACTAAAATATGTATATTATATTTAGTGATTCTAATCATAATCGCGGAATTATTTCGAAACGGTAGTAACTGACCGTTGCACCATACCATTATTTCGAGTGTCAGTAACAAATAAGCATTACGAAATTTTTATCGTTAATCTTTTATTGCATTTACTTAACGTTTAGATTGGTTGAGGTTAAAGGATTACATCTAATTATCTTGTATAATGTTATCTTCGGTCAAGCATGGCTTATCAGTTTCCTGAAGGTGAAATTGTAACACTTGAAGAAACAGTATATGTAGGGGTTCTGTTTTCAGGTGTTTATTATTATTATTTTTAAATCGGTGTTTATGTTTAGCTGTTATATAGTTTTACTTAGATGTCTTAAATTAATCTTTTCTGGGGTTTTCGCTTTTAATACTTTAATGACTATACTAATATATTGTATATTCTCTGCACACTATTTTTTTATGGGAGTAATAATAGGTACAAACATAGTTCTAGTTATGTTAAAGCTTTGTAAGAGCAGCTAATATTTCATATGAAATTATAAAAACAAACCAGTCATCGGAAAAGCGGGATAACCACTTCTAGAGTTTATTGAAAAAACACCGATTTAATTTTTTATTTTGTTAGTGGTTGTCGAATAACACCGAAAATCAGAACCCCAATTACATGTTAGGCTTTACGAATGAAATGTTTCTTTGCCATTTAGGTGTGTTTAGTAAACAACTACAAAAATGTGAATTTTGTTAGTCAAATTTCTATATAAATACATTATCGGCCATTTGTTCTCAGTTCAAGTCTAAACCCACCGTGTATGTGACTCAGAAAATTGTTTAATTTCCAATAAAATGTGGTAAAATAAGGAGGTATTTCAAGAACTTTACACCACCTACTTTAGAAAAAATAAATTGATGAGTAGTTTTTGTCTAATAATGCTTTACTCTTAAGTCTGGAAATTCTGTTACTTTATAAAACGTGGAGTATTATTTGGTCCAGATCAGTGATAGTGCAGCTCACAACTTCTTGTTTAAATTATTAGCTGTTAATGTTTACGTTCTCCTCTCCAATGTGAACTTCGTTGTCAACAGTTTTGATATTTGGATGCCAGTAAGACGATTGATTTATTCAGAGAGTTTGTGTTAATTTGAATTAAACTTACAGAGTACATGCAATAATTTTTGATTGTAATACTTGACAATGTGTCATGGTCACTGTCAATTCTAAATCCAGGAAATAATGGCACGAGTTATAATTGGACGCTTACTTTCTTCCCTCCTCCTCCAGACCGTGCCACGTTGCTGAAAAAATGCTCTCCGCAGTTAGAAAGCATGGGTGTGCTATAAGAGAGGCTGTTAGGTCTCACTATTCGTTGACATAAGTGGGTATTGTTGAGTAGTTGCCTTTTCTTTAGCGTATAATTTCAAAATTAGTTATTACTAAGTCCTTTGTGTAGCTTTGTGCAAAAATCCTGAAACAAACTTCCCCATCTTCAGAAAAGTATATTCATAAATTTTACGAAATACAATTTTTCAAAATATACATTATTACTAGTATTATTTTGTCAATGCCATGTTTCCCCACCATTTTCAATTGTTTCTAGTGGCATATTTATCAAAGGCATGACTACGAGCACATTATTATTGGACATCATTAGCTCATATTCAACTAGTTCTTTTTCTCCTTGGACGAGTAATATCACAGAGCTTTTTTTTAACTGCACAATTGTATTTTAACTTCATCATTTTTAATACATGACGCCTTGTTGCAACTCATATATATACAGGCCTAGTAACATAATGATAAAAAAATGAAGACTATTCTAGTAAATACATTTATTTATCAACTATGGAATGGGATTTTTTAATCTTAAATATGTTTTTTAATATTTATGCACTTGAACTTATACATATATGTGAATTTTTAACTGCACAAATATTTTTACAGGTGCACAACTTGTGATCAACTGTACACTAGGAAAATCCATGTAGTATCTGGGAATGAACACTTAAATTCAGTAAAAAAAGACGCACCCACCGAAAGAGTGGATATTGAATGTATTGAGATTAAGCTTGATTTAACGTAGGATGTGGTAATTCAATCAAGAAAATACGTTTTATTAACTTATCAGTAAACACCAAATTAAAGTAATATAAAAATATGTTCCATAACCTGATGTACAAATCATAAAACAGTATTATGATTCATTTTCAAAAGTTTCACGTAACTGTAGCTTTTTTCTTCTGATAATTCCACAGTTTTGTTTTAACCTGACGTTAAATACTAAATAACATAAATCATTTTTTGAAGAGTAACAATTATTTAGTGTTACAAAACTCACGCAACGTGCTTTTATTGTTTATTCAGCTCAAAAATCTAGCCTAACTTGAAAATTTGTTGAAATTTTGTGAGCACAGCCC